AGAAGTTGTTGCTTCTTTTTTCTCTCTTTTTTTTTTTTTTTCCTGAAGTCCCTTGTTTTCTGCAGGACTCACTCAGAAATCAAAGGTGGCCAGATGTAGTTGCAACAAGAATCTGCAACATCTGGAAGCCCTTTTTGGAAGGACTGAGAATTGTGATAAGAAAGAAAGTTCTGGGGACATTAGAGAATTCCAGGCCAGGTGGGAAGGCTGGATCCAGACCCCCAAGGCTGAGCTGACAGGGTCTGGCTGCCATCACCCACAGAGCCTCCCAAAAAATGGCAGAAAGAAGGAAAGTCTGGGGCAGATGAAGATACAAGCTAAAATATTCATTTTGGAACCAAATCAAAGAATTTTAGGTCACATTTGAATCCAAAGTGCAACAAAATATTGTCAGCCAGTGATCTCTGTGAGATGAGAAATTAGGACCAAAAACAAACTTGTAATTTGAAATTAAAGGATAATTCTGATGGGATATTTCAGATCAACTTCCAAGCTAACAAACCCTCTCCACCTGAGCTCTGGGTGCAGGAGGAGCATGTCTGGAAAGGTGAGCAGAAACTGCAGTTAAATTTAAATAAACCCTGTAACTGCTTGGAAAATGAATGCTGAAAAGGGGCAATCCTAATCTGATCCCTGGCCTTACTGTACAATTAGCAAAAGTGATAATCTTCATTTGTGAAACAAGGAAAATTGGCAGCTAGGAAAAAAAGAAAGGAAGTAATTCAGTTTAATATTAAACTTCTGAAAAAATTGGCCATAAAAGCTGCTCTGAGGCTGGCCAGGACAGAGGCTCAGAAATGTCTGGGGAATGTTCTTCAATCACTTCAGGGAATGTGAGGACATGAAGCTGAAAGTGCTGAGCTCCAGAGGAATGAGGATAAAGCTTCAAGCTTTTCTCTAGATTTGGTCAGTTTACTTTCTGAATGTATATTGGAGTCTGGGAAAGAAATGGAATAAATTTCCCTTCCTCAGGCTGCAGTTATTGGACAAGGTGGGCTGAAAAAGAATAAATTGGGCTCAAGCAGGGAGAGTGAGTGCTGGCAGACACAGGGCTTTCCAAAGGTGGGGAAATTGATTTAGAAAAGTCATCCTCTCTGAGCAAGAAATGGAGCTCAGATGATGGATAGGCTATGGAAGGATTTGGAGATCATTATGGCTGGTAATAGAGTAATACAAGCTGGAAGTATTGTCTTACCAATGAAATCCCTGGAAATTGCCTTTAATTATGTGGCTCAGATGAAGCAGAGAATTTGCAGATAACTGATTTGGAGTGAGGAGATTTCCCAGTGCAGCAGGCAGCCACTGCAGCAGCTGCTTGGGGCAGCATCAAAGGAAAGGTTCAACTGGTGGAAATCATATTTTAAGGGCCAAGAATTTGCAGAGACTTTTGCTGATAGATTTGAGGGGTGATTTTTTCCTTGCACTAAGCAATTTAAATTCTGAATTTCTTTAAATGCAGAGCTGCAGCAAGATTTCAGGAGATCTCCCTGTGATGCTGTAGTGGGTGTACTTACTCTGGCTTTACTCCAGCTTTCACAACTAATTGAAACTTTGAAAATACAACAGCTTGGAAGTCAATACAAGTCCTAAAGGTGCAGAAATACCTCCAGGATCCACAGAGCCTCCAAGGCTCTGCTGAATTTCGAGGTGCCATCAGTGCTGGTGCTGGTGTGAGCAGGGCTGAGGCCACCACAGCTGTGCCACAATCCCAGTTCCAGGGCACTGTTTAGATTCCCAGAAGTTTTTTCCAGTTAAAAATCAGTTTTCTGAGTCCAATAAACACACAGGCTGCACACAGTGGTGTACCACAGATGGATTCTGAGGGAAACCAAGCCATTCCCAGCACCTCTCTGTCAGAACGTGCTACTGGGCATCCAGGGAGTGACCTGGGATGGATAAATGAGCTTTCAACGAGTCCTGGACCTCACTCCCAGCTCTGATTGAAGTCAAATGGTGGCTGGAGCGGCTCCTGCAGAGCCAAGTTTCAGGAAAAGGGGAGGGAGCAGCTTCCAGAGCAGGACAAGAACTGCTGCAGCTTTAAAAGATGAATTTTGGCCCAGCACCTGCTGCTTTTTGAGGATGGGAAGGAGCTGTGCCCAGCCTGCCTGGATCACATCAGCTCTGATGGTATCTGGGTACCAAGTACAACACTGAGGTGTGACCTGATGGATTTACAAATGGCTGGAACACTCTGAAAACAGCCTGACAGCAGCTCCAGAGGCAAGGGCGTCATTGGAAGTGAGGAATTGTGAGTACACAGCCAGCCAGGGGATGGCTCCACAGACAGAAGGACAGGGGACAGGCAGCACCATCCTGGGCAGCTCAGGTGAAGGGTTTTTAAAGGATTTTTTTAAGGATTACTGCTACTATTTCAGGCAGAGTTTTTGTGGCTTTGTTAATATTGTAAAACCACTGCAGAAGTTTGGTGAGCAGGAAACAATTTCAGTGGCTGGCATAGTGTGATTTAATGTTTTCAAAAATGTTTTTGAACAAAACCTTTTGTAACTGCTCCCATTTTCACCTCCCCATGTTCCAAACACCTTCCAGGCTGGATGGGGACGTATCACAACAAAATGTTCTGTTCTGAGGACAGAAATTCATCTTGTGCTCAAAGCACATCTGACAGTGCCCGAATCCAGAGCAGGTCCCACCGTGGTTCCTTTGGGGAGGGTTGGACAAACCCTGGTGGGCCGCAGGGGCTGAAGGATGGGGAAGGCAGAATTGGGGTTTTGTGGGGTGAGACAGGCTCAGCTTCATCCAGGGAGCAGCTTTGGAGCTTCACCCCAACATGGTCCCATCCAGAACATCAGGAAAGGGCACCTGGAAAGCCGGGTTTGATGTTGGACGTTTGATGTCCAAGTGGCTCTCCTGGAATTCTGTGTTCCCTTGGGACAGGGGAGAAGACATCAGCTCCTGCTCTGGGATTCCTGCTCTGGACTTTGTTTGTTAAACAGCACAATTGTGTCCAGGAAACACGTGGCTCTATCCTTCATTAGTCTCTCCTGACATAAATATGCAGCAATAAATTAAAATATATTAATTTTTGGTGTTCATGAAGATTATTCTGCTGTTAAATTCTCCTTCTCTACTGCTGGATGAAGCAAAGGAAATATGTACCCGAGTGAAAGCTGTTACAATACCATGTGGATGGAACATATGTGATTTTTATAAAATATCTTTTATATTGTATTATTATGTTCTATCTATTCTTTTATAAAATATCATTATAATTCCTTGAGTCAGTGCATGTGAACTAAGTAAAGGACTGATAATTTTCTTGCTACATTAAACCAAGTGCTGTGAAACTTTGAGGAGGTTTTGCTACAGCAGAGATTCAGCTTTTAATCTTTGTATCTAAGCCATGCTTTCCAAAATGTCTGATTTTCCCGTACCTAAACCACCCTGGAGACGTCGTGTTACATTTCAGGTGTGTCATTGACAGCAGAGTTACACAACTGGAAATGGGTTTAAACATTTATTTTAAACATTTATTTTAAACACTGATATCTCAACTGCTGCACGTCACTGGTGGCTGAGAACTGCAAGGACAAAAGCTTGGAAATTAGGTACTTATGAATAATCAGATTTTAACACCTTTGTTTCATTTCAAAGCTGTTGGAATGAGTCGGGAGTGAGCTTTGGGGTCTCTGAATCACTGACCCCACCCATATGTGTGTATATATATTTATTATGTATATTAATATAAATAATCATATTGTAATTAATACAATATATCATTACATATTAATATGTTATATAGTATTATATATATTAATATGTGTGTGTTATATCTAGTATAAATATTAATTCAATATCTATATAAATATATTATCTATATAATTATATATCAAATACAATATTATATATTAATTACACATTTTAATATATTTATAAATATGTTATATATTATATACATGATTATGTATATTTTATAATATATGTTTACAATTTGTACATTTTAATATATATAAAATGTATATTGTAGATATGTGTATATATATAAATATATTAAATATATAATGTATATTTAAAATATTTTATATATAAAATATATATACATATATATATATACATATGTATATATACACATAGGTACATATACATATATACATATATACATATATACATATATACATATATATACTTATTCATAAAATAAATATGAAATATATATTTTATATATAATATATATAATGTATATTTAAAATATTTTTATATAAAATATATATATACATATATACATATATAAATATACATGTGTATATATATACATATGTACATATACATATATACATATATATACATATTCATAAATATATATTAAATATATATTTTATATATAATATATTTTAATATTACATATATTTGATATATTTTAATATATATGCATATAATTATGTATATTTTAAAATATTTTTAAATGTATATATGTATATGTATACACATGTATATTTATATGTGCTTGAGAGGTGGTGGGACTCTGCAGTGACACAGGTTCTTAGCAGCTGCACAGAATTCAGGCAGTTTTTGGTTTCAGACTGGCCCTGCTGGGGCTGCCTGGCAGAAGGTTTGAGTTTGGGTGTTCCTGGTTTGTGGGATTTGCTCTGTGTTGGGATTTCTCTCAGGGAGCTGTGCTGGCCCCAGGAGCTCCCTGGGCCCTGCCCTGTGTCCAGCTCAGCCCCATCCCCCTGGATCTCCCCAGATTGGGCCCTGCAGGCTCAGGGGCCTTTCCAGGAATGCTGAATCCTCAGTTCCGGCAGAATGAGGCCAAGGATCTGAGGTAGGAAGAGGTGTGAGGAGAGCTTTATTAGTATGGCACATATTTAACCCATAGGAAAACCCACAAATTTTACTCATTTTAAGTGTATTTCACACTTTTTGACTATTTGAAATAACCACATTTGTAAAAACTTCTTTTAATGAATAGAGCTCTTTATGTACAAAGGCAAACCCTTTTTTCCCCTAAATCCAGTCCTTTTAAAATACCATTTGTTTTGTAGGTCTGGCTGCTTCCCTCCTCTGTTCATTATTGCTTGCTGCTACAGAACCCTCCAGAACTGCAACCAGGACATTTCGATTCTGTTTTATCTTAGAAGAGTTTTGCTGATCAATGCCATGTATTCATCAGGACTAATTAGACAGATAAGTAAAGGACTTTAATTATTTAATGCCAACCCCAACCAAGCTGGTGTTCAGCACAATATTTGTGTGTGAGGGATGGGAAGGAGCTGCCTGGGTACAAATTCTGGCCCCACTGAACTCTGCCATGTTACTGCACAAAGGCTTCTCCACATGTTTAAAAGAAATATTTCCCTGGGGTTTTCTGAATGCTGGTAAATGTGGTTTTATCTTCCTTTTCACTTTTGAATGTTTGTTTATCTTACACACCCCTCAAAGTAATTTAACATAAAAAACTTCTCATCAATTCCATTTTATTCCAAGTTTGAATTGCCTCATTTTTTAATTTCTTGTGCATTTAGAGACCCCCACATGGCAATGTCTGGGCTGAAAACATGGTAGGGGAACATTGGCATATTTTGTCTTGCTGTGATTTCAAGTGAATTAAAGAAACCTAGAAATGAAAACATTTCCATTTGTTTATATAACTAAAAAAGCCCCATAAAACTGAGCAAGAATATCCTTTAATGAACACCAACCCTTTTTGCAAGCAGCCACAACCAGAGGGACACACACACACCCCCAGCTCCTATCTCCCCTATCAACAGCAAATTAGAGCAGGTAAAAAACCTCCCTCTATTTGTCTTAGGAAATATCCAGCACTTTTACAGGGAATTTGGAAAATATTTCAGTGGAGGAGAAATGCTGCACACAAAGCACAGCCACGGGCTGCTGTAAAACTGCCCTGGAACAAGGCATTAAAATGCCATCGACCTGCACACATAAAAACAACAAAAAAGCCATGAAAAAAAATGCCTTGCAAATAATTAGGATCTTATGGCAGGGAGCAGTGCTGATCTGCATGCAGAGATTTTCTGTGCAATCAGAGCAGGCTCAGGCTGATGGGCTGAGGGGGGAAATAGCAGAGCATAAATGGGCTGTGCTGCTCCTGCCTGCACAGCCAGGCCCCAAAGCATCCTCCAGCCCTTCCAGCTCCTCCTGTCTGTCCCTAAAATCCTCCTTCTGTCCTCTGAATTCTCCTTTCTGTCCCCTAAAGTCTCCTTTCTATCCCTAAAGTCCTCTTTTTATCCCTAAAGTTTCCCTTCTGTTCCTTGAAGTCCCTTTTCTGTCCTATAAAGTCTCATTTCTGTCCTCTAGTCTCCCTTCTGTCCTATAAAGTCTCCTTTGTCCTCTAAAAATCTCATTTCTGCCCCCTAAATTCCCCTTTCTTCCCCTAAAGTTTCCCTTCTGTCCCCTAAAGTCTTTCTCTGTTCCCTAAATTCTCCTTTCTATCCCTAAAGTATCTTGGAATACCCTTGGTTTGTAATACCAGAATATTTTTTTAATTCAATCTCAGGTTTTTATCATGAAAGGTTGAATTTGCTGATTTTCCATTTTTCCATGGGAAAGGTTGAATTTGCTGATTTCCAGGGTGAGTCTGAGGCTGACCCAGCCAGAAATAGCTGCAAACTCCATTTCTGGTCCTGAAAATCTGCTGTGAGTTTGTTCTCACTGCAGGTCCTGTGCTTGTATTTATTAAAGTTTTAGCAATGGTTTGTAGAGGTTGCTGGTGTGTAAAATGCATCAAACTGTTGTATAAATTTATCCTTTAATGCAATAAAATAATTCTTCAAGAGCAATTCTATCACCTGCAATGTATGGAAATACAAAAAGAATTTTAATAACTGATTATTCATGTCTGTGTGTTTGTCACAACTGTTGGGGTTGTTGTTAGCACAGCTCAGGAAAGCTACACCATTAAAATGTATTTGGAAGGATGTGCATCTGTGATTACATAATTAACACGGTAAAATAAATTAATGAGGCTGCTGCCTAAGAGTTGGGCATTTCATTCTCAGCTTTAAGTTGGAATTTAATACTTTTTTTTATTAAATGCCTTAAATGAATATTGCTTTTCTTACATAATAAAATTACTGTTTTGATCTCCATTTTACAGACCCCAAACATCAATAATTCAGAGGAATTAATGTCTGTCCCCTCTGTACTTCATCTTGTTTCCTGTTTTGTCATTAGGTAACAGTTCCCCCTAAGGCACTTGGTTTTAAACTTCCAATCCAGCTTGTGCCTTTCTTCCAGACACTTTCCAAGCTTGCATTTCCACACCCAGAGCTGTGCCCATGATAAGAGCCCTGTGTGTAAATTCCCAACCACCAGAACAGATCTTGGCACTGGGATTTCACCCATTCATCAATTTTATCTGACTTTCTGCCGGCCTGGCTTTCCAAAGTGTGAAAATCTGCGCTGCAGAGGAATTTGATGGATTGCAACCCTAATTTTTGGAGTAAAATTCTACAGAACTGCTCTGCTGAGAAAGCTTTGGGCAGAATTTTGAGGTTGCTGTGAATTGCTGTTAAGCCTGTGGTGCCTTTTGGCTGGAAGTCCATCCCAATTAGTGACCCTTGCATGGAGCAGTAGCACAGAGAAGGATTTGGTTGGTTTTTTTCAAGGCAGTTGTAAATGATTAGTCCAAAGGAGCAGCATGAAACTGAGAGTCCCCTGCAGGAGTGGGCTGGAGGAAATTAAAGGATCAACAACAGAAGGGAAGCACTGAGCTAGGATTGTTCCAGGCTGCAGCCACAGGCTCTCACATGCACTCAGGAAATTGGCTCCATCAAAAGCTGAGGATGCAGGAGTGAGGATGAGGAGGATCATGCAGGTGATGGTTCTAAATCATGGCCTGAGATCCCAGGGCTTTCCAAGGCAGAGCTTTCCTCCCCTCCTCACAAAAAGCAGCAGTTTCCAGGTAAAAATGGAATCTTCTCTTTATGAACCAATAAAAACCCAGCAGAAATGTGAGCTGTAAATCTGATATAACTCAATAAATAACAAAGATTCAGTCTCCCCACATTAATATCAGTTGGATGGGGATTTTTACTGTGCTGTGCCCTGTGTTTGTGTGTGAGAGCTGTGAAAGCAATGGCTGGGGAGTGCTTGGCAGCCAGGTAAAGCTTTTCCTTTAAAGTCTAAAGTCAATTCATTCTGCAGAAATTTGCATCTTCTGGGCCTGGGATGAAGCTGAAACCTTTGCTGGAGGAGCAGGAAAGGATCACAGGAGGGGAAATGCATAAATCTCCATCTGGAGCCAGGGAGGAGATGGGGGAGCAGCAATGCCAGAGCAAAACTCCAAGGGAAAAGTGGAAGAAAGGAAGAGGAGTGTCCCAGGAATTCAGCTCTTCTAACGCTCAATTCTTTCATCAGCAGCAAACCACTGGAAAGCTGTAACCCAAGCAAGGAAATTAGAGCAAAAATTTACAATATTCAACTATTCAGATGTCAAAAGAAGCAGAGGAGTTATTGGTGTGAGAGGTTATGGCCAGAGGGCAGAGCTCAGCATGCCCTGGGTAATTAAAGCTCACTGGGAGCACGGATCCCTTCTCCAGGTAAGCAAGGCTTTTACAGCATGGCATCTTTGCTATTGTAATTAAACACCATGGCTTACTCTGCATATGAACTCTTAAACACTTCAGGCCTTTATCAGGGGATTTTACTGGCCAGCCATGTGTGTTCAGATGGCAAAAAACCCCAGCTGCTATAAAAACAGAAACCCAAACATTTCTTTTTATGACTCGACTTGCTGTATTTTTATATATATTGAGCCAAATTCATCCCTTGTGGAGCTCAGTTGAAGCCAATAAGGGCAGATTTGGCCCATGCCTATATGAGAAAGGTGGTGACAATTAAAATATATTGTTTAATAATGAGAGCTATGGTAGTGCAGTGTCTTTGTGTCTATGAAATTATACACCACGACACCCAGACTAGCAAAACACATCAGGCTGCTTTCTGATGGAAAGGCAAAAGCACTCTGACTTTTATGATTATGATTAAATATCACAAAGGCATTTGAAGGAGGCTAATTTAGGTAACATCTCCAGAAGTCTCATTTATAGTGCAGTATTTTACCATTTGAAAATATTTCTTGACTGTTTTTATATGTGGCTCTCAAGGACAGCATGACTGGCTGTTATTAGCAGTAAGTAAAAGAACAGTTTTTATTTCACTTATATTTGAGGGACTTTCAGCAATATTACAAAAAGGAATGTACCCTATTAAAGAGAAGTGAGGACAGCCTTTACTATCACTTTACACTGGCAATTCCCACTTGTTCCCTGCTCAGGGCATGGCACCAGCACATCAAAGGCTCTGTCGGAGAGCTGGAGATGTTTCCAAGTTAGCAACAAACACCCAAAGCAGAGGAGTGTGCAGAGGAGCTGTGGTTACCTGGATCCTACCCAGCAACTCCTCTGTGTATCCCTGTTGTAAGCCTGGGTGCATTTCCAAGCTGGAGCTGCTGTGCTCTCTGTGCCCTGCGTGCTCCTGCTGCACTTTGGGCAGATCCAAATCCCTCCTCCAGGCTCCATCCCTGCCTCAGCTGAGCTCTGCCTTGCAAATGCCCCAAATTCTGACCCCAACATTTTCCTGCTGGCTCCTGACCTTGCCAGGAGGGAGGTGGGGGGCTGAGAGCATCAGCAGAGATTTCCCTTGGGGAAAAGGTTTTTCCTTTGGGGGTTCCCTGTCCTGGGCCCTGGCAGCTGCCTCTGGCTCTGGCTCTGTACCTGGGCTGAGAAGGGTCACAGGAATCAGAAATATTTTGTTGAACCAAGAACTGAACTGGCTCTGGATGGCCCTGCTCAGGAGTGAGGAGATAGAAACACCTCAATGCCTGGACCAGCAGAAAAGGCAGCTCTTAAAGATATAAAATATCTTTGTTAATATCAAAATATCAAAACTGGAGATATAAAATATCAGTTCTAATGCCACTAGTCTTCTAAGGAGTCTCTGACCCCCAAAAATGAGAGTGGGGAGGGAAAAAACAGAAGAATAAAAATCCTTTTTGTTGTACTTATTACTCATTCTGAGTCTCTCTTATGGAAATCTGGCCTTTGGCATCAGACTCAAATAATATTTTATGAGAAGAAAGCATGATTCATTGGAATGGTGCAGTATCTGTGCAAAGGAAACTGGGAAGGACACAAGAGAAACTCAGCTGTGGAAAACCAATCCAAGGAACCCCTGCCCCACACAGGATCCCAACCCACAGCAGGAAACAGCAAAAAGGAACAAAGTAATTCCAAGCAAACCCTTGAATGTGGTGCTGCAGCCAAGAAAGGAATTGTGGCCATATCAGATTGTCAGGAAGGGTCACACTGTGCCTGTGGCAGGAGAATATCCTGTCCTTTGGAAATTAATAGGATTTTTAATGTAAATAGTAGCATATTTATATTTATATTTATATTTATATTTATATTTATAAATAGAATGTTTAAATATCAATTATTATATTTATAAATATGATCATTTAAATTATTTATATTTATTAATTACATTTATTATATTAAATGCTATATATTAAATACTGAATTATTAATTTAATAATTTAAATATCAGATTCAGACTTCTGTTATTCTCCCAGTAGCTGTTCAGGTATCCTGGGCAGGAGTAAATGCAGTTTTCAGCGTGGCTGTGTCATCCCTCACACTCAAACCCTCCATGGCCAATTCCTGAGCCAGGGCTGCAGGCTGGGCTTGCTGAGGGGACATTAAAGGGCTGGTCCTGCACTGGAGTCTATAAAAGTTTTCCTATTGACTTCAACAGAAATAGGGCTGAGCCTTGGGATTTTGGCATGAAAACACAAAACTGGGGCTTTGCATGTGTGAGCTGAGCAGGCAGTGCCTGACGTCAGGAATTGTTCTCTGGACAATTTGTTCTGGAATGTTCAGGGATTCCTCCCTGCTGCAGGCTGAGCATGAGCACACAGACCTGGCCAGGGCTGCTATCAGTGCAGCCTCCCAGCTAGGAGATAAATTTGTCAATTTTGCCTTTCAGGACTGTTAAAAGTGTTGCTGCCCGAGCAGACAGTGCTGACATTCCACCTCATTTTACTTATTAAAAAGTCAAATTTCCACCAGTTTGTAAAAACAGCCCCACTGAAAGTGTTCCTCAAAACTGCAGCAATGTGTGGTTCAAAGCCAAATATTTGTGTTTGCTGAGAGCTAAGGAGAATGACAACAACAACAAAAAAACCCAGATGAAAAATGTT